TGAGGAAAACAACCAAGTTAGTCAGAACCTGAGCATTGAGGAGGACTGTGAAGGAAAGTGACTGCTACTATGATAAAACCCTTCAAGGCCATAGCAGAATGTTCTGGTACCTATGGGTGTATTTGTATTGAGGAGTGTGTGTCTCTCTAGGGGTGTGTGTGTGTGTGTGTGTGTGTGTGTGAAATGTAACTGCAAAATGTGGAAATAGACATTGAGTAAATTTCTTTTCTTGTGACTGTATGAACATAAATATTCAACCAAGGTAATGGAAAGATTTATCACTTCCACATTAGATTGTTTCTCCAGATTTGGGGAGAAGACATTTTTGTTCCACTCCTCTGGGATCTATGTTAGTAGGATGGCAAAATGAGGGTGAGAAGGGATTTGTAATTTCAGGTTATTTTCGCTTCTGTCTCTCTCCATCCCATTTCCACCTTCACCCTCAATTCCTCTATCCCTAGGGTCCTTACATTTTCTCTCTCCTCTCTTCCCTTCCTCCCCTGTCTCCAAAATAAGATCAAAGAACAAAGTAAGAGTTGGACCTGGCTTGCCTGGCCCTGCTAAAGGGTCTTTACCAAGACCTTCTAAGTTGATGGGGGGAATAGAATATCACTAACTTGTCTCAAACCAGCACTTGGGCTGGGCGCTTTGAGCTGCAAACTCACCTGATTTCCTGCAACATCACAATGATACCATAGCTCCCAGTATTAGCCATCCATTCGTAGCCTCCTGTCTGAATTTTGGATGCCTAGTTCTTCCAAGCTGTAGAAGAAAGAAAACAAACAGAACCATTATTTTCAACCATAATTGAACATTAGAATTGCCTAGGGGTGTTTCTTTTAAAAAAATGATGCCTGAGCCCCCAATCCATACCAAAAAATCAGAATAAATACTGAAGCTCAGACTTCAGTTTTTTATATGCTTTTCAAATGATTTTCATAAGCAGATAAGATTGAGAACTGCAGATATAGAAGCTGGAAAGGCAGTTAAAGGAATTCTAGGCCCTGGGCTAGAGTTATGGGTACAGACAATTTTGGAGTGTTACACCGCTTAACTTTTAATATATGTTTCCTATCACTATCTGCTTAAAAATCATCCAAGATATACCCATTGCTCTAAGATAATCAAATTTCTAAGCATGATTTTCTGGCCTCTTCATTCTCCCATAGGCAATTTATAATTCAGCCATTCCACATTGTTTCTTGTCTTATCCACCTTCCCCACTAGACTGTTAGCTCTTGAAGAACATGGGCTGTGGCTTCTCATCTATGTAGACGTGGGTATAGACCAATGCCAGACACAAATAAGAGACTCAAAAATAAGTCCAGAATTGTGTGGGTTTGCATGATCTTGTCAGTTGGTCAGTAAGCCAATCTGAAAAGAGGTTTATATAATATATGTTTTCATGGACAACTGTCAACTTAAATGTATGGATAGATACATAAATAGATCTGCTCACTCAACGTTTATTGTGAAGCTCCCATAAAGTAGACATTGTGCTAAGACCTGAGGACACACTATGAATAGGATATTAGTTGCCTTTGGGAAACTCACTTTTTGGGGCATGTCATTTATAAATACTAGAAAGCAGTCAAAGAGGTGAGACAAATATGCTTTGGTTCAGCCTAATAAATACTAAATATAGACACTAGATTAACTGTTTCTCATTTATGCTTAATTATCATGCAATATAATAGTAAAGATATTGTTAAATATATGTCAGTTTGACTTTGTTGTAAATCTTATGTAATTACAACACACACTTCTGCTAACATGTTTTTAGTGTTTTACTCCCATATAGCATAGTTGTTTGCCAACAAATTGATTCAATTACTTATTCCTGGGGACTCTTCCATAATTTATACAGAGAATTCTAGACGTTATTTAAGAGAGGAAATTTCAGAAGGGTTAAATAAATAAGAAAGTTAAGTTAAATGAAGTATCCTAGGAAAAAAGATATAGGAGTTAATGATAATTAAGTAATGCAGGTATAAAGAACATGGATTTGGGAAGACTGGGAATGGAGGGCAAGAGTTATGTGAATGTATATAGTAAACTTCAATTGTACTTAAATCACCCCATGCACTATTTAAAAAAGGAATACTAAAGGAAAAATATTTTCCTTCAATCATTAATTACTCTTTTTTCTCTCTTTCTAGCCAACATACTATAATCAGAACTTACCATGATGATGACTTTGACTGCAATATGAGGAAAGGGAAGGAGTAGTTAAATGTAATCTCAAAATATTAAAACAGATTTAAGAGATGCTGCTAAATGTCAGAATGTGTTTGGCAATAAAATAGTTTATGGCTACTCAGAGCCATACTATGTTTAATAGTTTGAGAAATGTGGACAGAACCCCCTAAGCAAAAAAAAATGCCGTCTGATATTCCACGACTAGAAATATATCTCTTTGGAAACATAATATGTTTTACTTTCAAAGTTATGTCAATTACACATACACATACAAATTACATAACTTTAGGGCTTACATCTCACTGAATCAAAGTTCTGGATTAATGGGAAGAGTGTAGGGCAGAAGGGACCCTGGGCACCAGAAGCAGTGAGGACAATCCAAAGACAAATGTGCTTCTCTGGGCAAGGATCAGACCTCTCCCCAGAGGGAGAGCCGACCGCCTGCAGTAGAGCAGTGACTCCATCAGCCGTTTGCTGCACTTTTCCGGATCAAAATCATCAACCAAACACTCTGCAAGGAACCACTCCAAGCTGCCACTCTGTTTCCTCCTAGGACTGCTTTTGATTGAAATGAATTTCTTTTAAAAAAAGAATAGCAATGCACAATGCAAACGTCCTTGTCACTGGTGTTGACAGTGGGGCTCTAAAATTTGAGCTTGCTCCGGGTGTGATATCTTTTGAAATGTACAAAAGAATAAGAGAGTGAACGTACAGGGCCCCATTTCACTTTGAGCAACATAATTTACTCTGTGGAAATCACGAAAGCAAAATTAGAAAGCGATGAAGGCTTTGGTTAGCCTGCGAGGCCTGCCTGTCCTTCTGTTTGATTGGCTTGCTTTTCATTTTCTGAAATATAACCTAGGGCCTTATAACCAACTTGCTGCTTCAGTTGAAATATGCTCTTGTCACTAGGAAATGTACTTCCAATTCCCAAACAGAACTTTCTGGACAGTAGTACAATTACATTCCGAAGCAACATGCACATTGGACATGTTGCGAGTTAAAAGAGACATGTTTTTTACCCCTGTGTTAAAATAGAATTGAAGGAAAATATGACCAAAGGCTTATACATAGTGACAGGGAAGTACATAGTAAAACTTGTTCTCACGAAATTTGTCTTAGGGAAAATAACTCAGAAATTACTTTCTTTCACAATATAGATGTGTTGCTTTATGGAACTGATGCCTTTCAGAACAATGGAGCATCAAATGTATTCTGCAATACACATTTAATGCATACAGATTTCCTGGCCCAGGAGGTGGACTCAACGAGTGTCATCAAGTGACATGGGTTCAGATTTTAGTTACTAGTCTCTAAGAAACCCACTTTTAGGCATGAAGCTTTTGGAGAAACCTGACAAACACTACTTCAGACAGCTGTTCAAGGTTCACACCAACAGTTTATAAATCATGTTGGTAGTATGTACCTTTGACAGAATGCGATGAGAATGTCACTTTACGTCTGTGGTCTTCCTCCCCAAATTCCATAACCTCACTCTAAATGTCAGACAATTCCCAAATGAAAGACATTCTGTAAAGTACCTGGCCATTACTCTTCAAAATGGTCAAGGTCATGAAAACAAGGAAAATCTGAAAAACTGTCACAGCCAGGAGGAGTCTCAGAGGACATGAGACTAAACATAGTATGGTATCCTGAATGGGAACCTGTGACAGAAAAAGGACATTAGGTAAAAACTAAGAAAATCTGAATAAAGTATGGACCTTGGTTACTAATAACGCATCAATATTGGTTAATTAATTGTAACAAATATACCATATTAAAGTCAGATATTAATAATAGGGGAACCTGGGTACTGGAGTATACGGGAACTCTCTGTACTGTCAAACTCTCTGAACTCTTTCTACTATCTTTGCAACTTTTCTGTAACTAAATCTATTCTAAAATAAAAAGTTTATTAAATGTGAAGCTTTTAATTTTTTCCTGTGCTAATATTGCATTAATATTGTAAAATTCATTTTACAGATGAGAAAATTGAGAGTCAGAATTCAAATGATTTGAGCCACATGACTGCAGATGTAATAGAGTAATAAATATTTGGAATGAAGTCTGCTCATTTCCAAGGGCAAAGCTCTTTTTACCATGTTTAATGCCTGAGCTTCTTACAAGGGTTTGGAAACACATCCTAACTGGCAACCTCACAAGAGTTTGGCTCACTAACTCACTTCCTTCAAGTCTTTGCTCAAACCTCACCACCCCCAGTTAATCTACTTTGACCACTGTATTTAATATGGCACAGAATTCCTGATTCCCCTTAACTGGTTCTGCTTTCCTTTCTTATAACACTTTTCATCTTTTAACATACCATATAATTTACTTATTTATTGTCATGTTTGTGGCTTATTGTCTATTCTCCCCCACTAGAATATAAGCTAAGGAGATCACAGATATTTATAATATTCACTGATATATCCTGAGCACATAAAACAGTGCCTAATGCACAGAAGGTTCTTAATAAATGTGTGCTGAATGACTGACTCAAACAATCTCAGCCCAGTTAGAATTTCCGGGGACATACTATCTGTTCTTCGAGTAGGGATGCTGTGTAATCTCAATTCACTTGATTCATTCTACAGAGGTGGGAAGTTACTTCATTTTGTTCAGCCTCTTCATTTTAATTTAGCTGTTTTAGATTACAATGTGTGCCCCTGACCATCTTTTCTATCTCTTAGTTTTTTGTGCTTTTGACTCTTCACTCCTCTGAGTCTTCCTCCTGAACTCACATTGCTAAAACTAACTACACAAAAAAGATGAGATAACAAGTGTTGGTGACAGTGGGGAGAAAAGGGAACCCTTGCACATTGATGGGAATGTAAATTGATACAATCATTATGGAAAAAAGTATGGAAGTTCCTCAAAAATTAAACAATGGAACTACCAGCAATCTCTCTTCTGGGTATATATCCAAAGGAAATGAAATCACTATCTTACAGAGATATCTGCCCTCTCATGTTCACTGCAGCATTACTCACAATAGCCAAAACATAGGAACAACTTAAGTGTTTGTCGATGGATGAATGGGTAAAGAAAATGTGGTATATATATACAATGGAATATTATTCAACCTTAAAAAGGAAAGAAAGTCTGCCATTTGCAACAACAATTAATGAATGAATGAATGAACTTGGAGGATGTTATTCTAAATGAAATAAGCAAGACAGAGAATGACAAATACTGCATTACCTCACTTATATGTGGAATCTAAAAAGGTAGAATTCACAGAAGCTGAGAGTAGAATGGTAGTTGTCAGGGGCTGCGGAATGGGGGAAATGGGGAGATATTGGTCAAAGGGTACAAACTTGCAATTATAAGATGAACAAGTTCTGGGGATCTAATGTATAGCATTGTGACTATAGTTAATAATACTGTATTATATGCTTGAAATTTTCTAAAAGAATAGATCTTAAGTGTTCTTACCACAAAAAAAAAAAGGTAACTATGTGAGGATGATGGATGCATTAATTAGCCTCATTGTGGTAATCATACCACAATGTAAACATGTATCAAATCATCACTTTGTACACCTTAAATATATGCCATTTTTGTTTGTCAATTATACATAAATAGAGCTTGAAAATAAAAATAAAATAAAACTAACTGCAGTGTCAGTAATAACTGGTGCTCAATTATGTCAGCTTAACTCTTGTTATTCTGAAATAAATTTTTATAATATCAGACATCCTTATATTTTCATATAGCCTGTAAAATTAGGAAATCACTTTTTTCTGTATATTTCCTAAATATTTGTTTGTGGGAACTGATATCACAGGACTACTGAGGAAGTCTAAAGGGTCTACTGCTTCTCTTATGTCACTCATGTTGCTTTGCCTTTTTCCTGCTGTTGAAATTAAAGAGCATTTCTCAGCAATGTGTCAGCCACTGTTGTGTCCCTTTTTCCCTGAGGTATATGTATCAGAAAACCCTAAATGAATGTGGTTAAATATGTCATAAAAACTATACATCTAAAGTATGCCATGCATTACTTATTGTGTTCATTATTTCTGCAGTTGAAAAGGAGCAGTTTGGATTTGGGGGGAGAAAAGAACACTGTCACCTCACATCACTAGATCAGAAAACTTTTATGGTAGCTATTGCACTTATATGCAACAATAAAAATATTTCAGGAATTAAATTTTCATCGGAAGTTTGTCTCCTGTACCTCCCCTCCAGTGTAGTCAGCTTGAGGTGCGTGTATTATCAAAGTCCCTCCATTAACTGCTTAGATTCTAAAATGAGGCTATTTTGAGTACAGGACAAGGCTAAAGTTATAAGAGCCCCAGACTGACCATTTGCCATTGGTACTAAAAATGGAACCTAAAGATCTATAAGATCTTTTTCAATTGTAGTATTCATTTTTCATGCATTCAACAAGTGGTTACTGAGAAATGACTATACAAAAGATTGTGAAAAGCACTGTGGGAGATATGCAGATAAAACAAGAACTTTGCCCCTGGGTAGCATACATTCCAAATCTCTACAGATAAAGCAAGGTAGAAAATACGCACCACAAAAAGGACATGAAAAGTACCATATAGGATATCTCAGGAGGGAGAGGAAGAAGTAAGGGGCACCTACTGGAGGAATTTGAGTAAGACTCCAAAAGATAGCGTGGAATCAGCCAGGTTGTGGTATGGAAAGGCAGTGGAGATGCATTTTCATGGCAGAGATACTTAGGTATGAATACTTGGGTGAAAATGAAGTCACGGGAGTACCCACTTGACGCAGCGAGGAAGCATATATAGATGAAGAGGAGAATGGGTAATTGAGAGCTCCATGAAAAATATCAACATTTAAGATAATGATGAAAGAGTGGACACCAGGAATTAAGCCAAAATAGAAAGGAAACCAGAAAAGATTAGTTACCTGTAAATCAAAGGAGGAAAAGTCTGAAGAATGAGATGAGCAGTGTTAAATGCTTGAGAGGGGTCTATCTAGTGAGCAGTGAAATGAGCCCTTGTATTAATGATTTTTAGTTCACCAGTGATCTCATGAAGGTCAATTTCAAAAATTAATGAAAAATATAAATTGAAATGAGTTGAAGAGTAGAAAGAGCTAAAGAAGTGGAAAATAATTAGAGACTTAGCTTAAGTAATGTGTCAGTGAAGGAAAAGAATGACAGACGGTGGTGGTTTGAGTGCAAGGTAAGGTTGCAGTAAGCTTTTTAAGGATGAAGACAGTTTGAACAATGTATAGACAAAGAATCGAATCATAGAAAAAGAAAGTATGAAGACACAAGATTAAAGGGAACTTTTGAATCAAGGACCTTGGGAAATTGAGAGGGATATTGAGCACATAAGTGGAGTTAGCGCTTTGGAAAGGAGAAGACACATGATTTCCTCTGAAATAAGAATGTAATTCACGTACTTTTAGGGGAGGAGAAGGACAGGCAAGTTACAGGATTTCATGTATATTACATCCATTTTCTCTGTGAGGAAAAAGGATAAGGCTTTTTTCTTTTTTTTTTTTTTAGAATGAGAGATTTAAAGGAAGAAAGAATGCTATAGAAATATAATCAAGTCTTGCAGCAACGTCTGGGGAAAAGGCAAAGAAGACAATTTACAGCATGTCTAAACTTCTGTAATAATTTGGAACAAATAGAAGTGACATACACAACTGTTTTTTTGGAAGAATGTCTCTCAGAGTGACATGCTATGAATTGAGTAGAGTTAAATTGAAGGGTAGTAGATAAATTAGAAAACTACTGAAATAGTTCATACAAAATGCAATGAGTGTTTTATTTGTAAGTATAAATAACAATAATTGTAAGAAGGAGCAGAAGCAAAATATGCCGCATTTGGCAATTATTTTCTTATGTAATTTTTTACATCTAATATTTCATTTATTTTCATTATCAATATCAGAAGTTGATAGAATAAGTTTTGTATAACCCAACCTACAAATAAAAAAAAATGAGAAGTTAAATAACTTTCTAAGAAAACACAAAATTCCTTTTAAACCAGAGCTAGGAAAAGTTGCTCTTACATTTTGTCCATAAATTTTATCATTAAACTACATTGAAGTCAATATCTGTACTGTAAGAATCATTGCCCCATGACTGAAACAGGTTTTGATTCTATATGGCACTCATTTTGCGGCAACTAGAGGCAAAGAGTTCAAAATCAACCTTCACCTGTTTTCCAATTTTAGACATTGTGCCTTTTGTCTGGATCTTTTTAAATATAAATCTGATCTTTGACATATATTCCTATTTAGCAGAATACATTTTTTCTTTAAACACAAGGAAAAGTGGTAGAATAGTTATTATTTCAGACAATTGAGAAAACATCAAAATCACCCCAGTCCAGGAGAAAAGCTGTGATCAGCTATAACAAACAACCACACAGCATAAGCCAACTGAATTTGACAAAAACTAGTTCAAATTCCACCTTTCCCGTTGACCAATTCACAAAAAAATCTCAGTAGCCTTCTGTGTCTTGTGAGATACAAGGATCCAAAATAAATTAGGATTGCAAAAAAACTGGCCAAATTACCAATTCTTATCAACTTGCTGGGAATCTCCAACTGATCATGTATCTACTTAATCTCCACATACATGAACATGTTTTTTTTATAAGCACCTTATGTTGAGCTCAGTGAGCTTTGGAGCGGGCATATCTACCTGTTTTGCTTGTTTGTTATGTCACTAATTGTGGAGTTTGATAACCTCAGTGGGTATTGTTTCCTGCCTGCCTGGTACCCCCAGAAATTTTCTAAGAGCAAACCCTGACCTGAGAAGGCTGGACAAGGACCTAAGTGTCCTTCTTCAGAATTTTTCTATCTGGAGCTGGTAAGAAAGCTCCCTTCCTCTTCCATATGAGAATGTGAACTCAGAATGCTAGGGACATGATCCTCACTTAAGGAAGACATACACAAAATAAAGCCAAAATAGAGAAGCAAATATCAAAGACAGACACAGAGAATCTCGCCAACATTCAATTCTTAGTTCCAATCATCTCCAAGCCCAACTTCACCCATTTCTTTCCCACAACTCAATGCATTGGTCTGTCAATGCATCTCTCTGCCAGTGGAAAAACTACCAAATGAACCTTCCCATTAGGATTCACTGATTAGGAAAAGTGGTGGTAAATCTGCTGAAAATTGAGGGGGATTTACTATCACTCACTAGTATGTTGCATAGAGCCTAAGAGCATGATCTTCCTAGGCAGACAGACAATTTGAATCTGAACTCCATCTTCCACTAACGCTTTGGTTTTAGGAAAATTATTTAATACCTTTAGCCCGAACTTCATCTTCTGTAAAAGAGGGGCCATAATTATAGTACCTACCTTGTATGCTTATTAATTGCATGAAATGAGATAGTGATTTAAAATTCTTATTAGAGTCTTTGGTATATAATAAGAATTCAATAAACTGTACCTATTATTTTCTATTATTATTTGTTAGTTGTCATTAGTGTTATTAAAAAGTGACATTTATTCAGGATCTGACATGGACACTGCTGCAATAGAGATGGTGCAGCTTTGTGTTAGGAAATGTGACAAAGAGCATCCTCTTTGCATCAGTCACATTTTGCAGAAAAGACACATCATTGAACATTTCAGTCTCTCCCTGTTTTAAATATTTTGAAATCTAAGTGTAAGGTAAAAAAGACAATAAATCCTGCTTCACCTCTTCATATCCCTTTTAGTAATGTGTGTATTCAAGAATTTTCTTCATTTAAAAAAATTGTCTTTTTCTTATTGATTTTAAGAGTTCTTTATTTATACTGAGTATGAGTACTTTTTCAAAAACATGAATAGCAAATATTTATTCCTACTCCGTGGTTTGTATATCTACTATCTTAATGGTGTCTTTTGGTGAAGAGAAATTCTTAATTTTACTGAGTACAATTCATCAACCTTCTCCTTTAAAGTCATTGCTTTTTGTGTACTGTTTACAAAATCTTTACCTACCACAAAGACACGAAGAATTACACTTATTACTTTATAGAAGTTTTGGTTTTATTAATCTTTCACCTTTTTCTACCACCCAACTGGAATTTATATTTTTGGTGTGTGATGTACAGGGTAGCATTCAAAGTTCATCTTTTTCCCCATATTGATATCAAGTTGACCCAGTACCATTTACTGAAAAGACAATATTATCCCAATGGCATGCAATGAACTTTAATTGTAAGTTGTAAATCAAGTCACTGTATATGTGTGGGCCTATTTCTGGAGTCTCTATTCAGTTCCACTATTCCATTTGCCTTTCTTTATGCTAATGTAATTCCACACTGTTTTAGTTAATATATCCTTATAACAAGTTTTGATACTGGGTAGTTTATGTTATTTTTGGTTATCCTTAATTCCTTGAATTTCCATATAAATTTTAGAAAGAGCTTATTAATTTCCACAGAGAAAATGTCCTGAGATTCTGAATAGTATTGCAATGACTCTATAAGCAACTTCTGGGGATTGTTATCTTACAATATTTATTTGTCCAATCTATGAACATGGTATGTTGTCCACTTATTTAAGTCTTCTTAATCTCAGTAGTGATGTAGTTTTTAGTTAGATGTCTTGCATAAATTTTGTTCAATTTGTTCCTACATATTTGATTTTATTGATGCTGTTATAGATAGTACATTTGTTAAATTTAGTTTTGTAAATTGCTTGCTGCTGGTACATGAATATGCATGTCATTTTTCATATTCACCTTGTATCTGGAAAACTTATAAAACCATTTTTGAATGCTAATAGTATATCTGTAGATTCTTGGTGAAGAAAGATCATTTATCAGTTCACTAGATTATAGATCTAAGTGGAAGACATAAGAAACTTTGGAATAAGGGAGACACTTTAAACTCTATTTTCTCTTTATCATCTAATCTCTCTCCTGAGAAATAGCAGTACCTCCAATCTGGAGACCTAGTAGTCATCTGTGACACTTTTTTTCTGTCATTTTTCTACATTCAATTACCAAAATCTGTAGATTCTATTTTCTTCACATAACTCGAAATTATCCTTTCCACCTCTTCCCCACACTCTTGCTTTATTTAGTTTTGATCCTCATCATTTCCTGCCAGGACACTTAAAAGAGGCATCAAACTAATTTGCACTCTTCTATTGCATCCTTCCCATGAAAATCTTGTCATGACACTCACCTGTTTATAGAGATATATTAAAATTTGGCTTTTATTTTAATTTTTTTTCATTAATCTGAATGCATATTCCTAGATGACAACTTGTTTCCTAACTTAGAATACCATTTCCCATAAGACTATGTTCAGGGGCTATTGACCCATGCCCACATCCACATTCCTATTACTTTTCTCTGCCTTATATAGCAAAATGTAGAATTTAAGCAGAGACATAAGCAAAAAATCCAATGCTTTTGATTAATTTGCACTTTTGGTCATAAAGCAGTTTCAATAATCTAGACAATCAGTTCAGGATAGATTTCCTTGTAAAATTATGACAATTTACATTATTTTTGTTTTCTTTTTTCTTGTGACATAATTGGTCTTCATGACCTCTGCAGTGCCCATAGAGAAAATGCATAAAGCTATCAATAATAAGCCTTAAAATGATATTCTATTTATTCTGTTGGACTTAGCAATAAATTCCTTAGCCAGTCAATTGAATAATGTAAAGATTTTTAAGAAGTACATCAATCTAACTGCTTGAAAGTCTTGCATTAAACTTGTGTTTATCCTAGAATGCAGAGGCATGATATTCTAATTCCAAAAGTCTAAGTGATCTTAGAATGCTAAGCCAATAAATATAGATCAGTGTGTTCCTTGCTTTAATAATAATGTTATCAATCTCTTTGATATCTATATGGAGGGAGAATATTGAGGAGATGTATATATATTTTTAAATGTAGTGTTTCTTTTCAATGAACACCTTTCTGACTTGTAGCTTCTGAAGTATCACCTGAGATTATTTTGTCTGATGTAGATCTGAGATATGCCCATTAACAACAGCATTGACTAATAATTAAATGAAAAATACTTTACAGCCCTTGGCATGAAGCACCGATGTGACTCAAATAAAGTAATCTTGATAGCTCTTGCTGTATTTGTGGAAATTTTTATAAGTTTTCCCCTTCTGACCTTTGCTAGCATATCTGCGTAACAAAATTGACAACGATTAAAATAATAATTTTTCCAATTGGTAGAGTTTCTGAATTCACTTGGTAGAAGCAAAATCAGCATATTCATGGATCATCAATTTTCATCGCTTTGTTCGCTCTTAATTGATGAATATTCCTGAAAGGACACAGAGAACCCTCTTTGGATTCCAGCCACAGATACTTTTGTTAAATTAGTCTTACCTTACTCTTCCTCAAAGAACAATAAATGCATCAGATCATAGCTAAAGGCACTCAAGAAAACTGGTCTTGCAAATAGAAAAATTTCATTCACCATTTCTTTGATCACCGACTTTAAATTGAAAGCAGAAGTCTCTTATGCTTCTGTCAAATCAGTTGGAACTGGTTTGAAAGCGCAAATTGAAGTTCATATACTCAACAAATCAAAGACTAAATGAACTGTCTGAAAGTCTAACAGTGTGTGATGAAAAGGAGTGTAATTTTTCATATAAGTCAGTCAAGTTACCCCTGCAACTGCTATAGTGCTTTATATTATCCTCCCACTCTTAACTTGGTGACTATAAAATGTTTTATGGCACCCTTAGTCATAGTAGAACTTCTAGAAAAAGCAAACCCCTGGTTTACATAAATATATTTTCTTACAAATATATCCTATAATATTTTTACATAGTTAGAAACCCTGATTATACTTCTCTCTATCAAAATTTTTTGGAAGTTAAATTTTCTTAGTGTGAGAGCCCTATGAGGTTTTGTTTGTGTTGTTATTTTGCTTTATCCAAAAGTACATCACGTTGCTCTTAAGAGTCATTCAGAGCTCCTCTCCATCCAATAAGCTTGCGTGACTTCAAATCTTATATATTCCCCATTTAGATTTGGAGATATTAATTTTTAGGACTAGGTAGGCTATTATTATACATATTTTCCAAACAGAAATTTGGAACATTTTCTATAGCAACTTATTTTAGGAATAACAATAAATAGATAAGCAAGGAAAGTGCTCAAGGTCCTATTGTTCTAGTTACTCACACTCCACAAGTTTCCCTAGTTTGTCAATATAATTCTTTAGGGGCCACATAACAAACTAGGCACAGTAGTCCAAATGTGATCTAATCAAAGAGGAACAGAATGAAATTATTATCCATTTGGTCTAATACTTTCCATGCAGCCTAAGATTGATGATGGTATTATCTTTACTAGCAGCTAAATAGAATTCTTCACTCATATAGACCAAAATCTTCTTTAAGAAGTATTTTTAACTCAAGTCACCCCTTTCCATCTGTAGGAAAATGACTCTTTGTATCTAAATGTAGGGATTTGTATTCGTCTCTATTCAATGTCCTACTCATAAATTTTATAAACTTTGGCCTGGCGTAGGTGTAGCATGAGCTCTTGAGTAAGACAGAGTTGGGATAAAACTTTTCTTCTTCCACTGAGCAGGCCATTTAATGTTTATATGTCTTATTTTTTTAATTGATGTCTTAATAGTTTATAATATTGTGAAATTTTGGTTGTACATTTTGTTTGTCTTTCACCATATACATGTCTCCCTTCACCCCTTGTGCCCACCTCCCACCCCCTTTGCCCCTGGTAACCACAATACAGTTCTTTCTGACCATGTGTTGGTTTATATTCCACATATGAGTGAAATCATGCAGTGTTTGTCTTTCTCTTTCTGGCTTATTTCACTTAACATAATACCCTCCAGGTCCATCCATGTTGTTGCAAATGGGACAATTTTGTCTTTTTTATGGCTGAGTAGTATTCCATTGTATATATATATACCACATTTTCTTGATCCAATCATCAGTCGAGGGACACTTGGGTTGCTTCCACTTCTTGGCTATAGTGAATAATGTTGCAATGAACATAGGGATACATAAGCCTCTTTGGATTGTTGATTTCAGGTTCATTGGATATATTCCCAGTAGTGGGATAGCTGGATCATAGTGTATTTCTATTTTTAATTTTTTGAGGAATCTACATACCATTTTCCATAGAGGCTGCACCAATTTGCTTTCCCACCAGCTGTGTATGAGGGTTCCTGTTTCTTCACATCCTCTCCAACATTTGTTGTTTTTTGTCTTGGTGATTATAGCCATTCTAACAGGTGTGAGGTGGTACCTTAGTGTTGTTTTGATTTGCATTTCCCTGATGATTAGTGATGTTGAACACCTTTTCACGTGCCTATTGGCCATCTGTATATCTTCTTTGGAGAAGTGTCTGTTCATTTCCTCTGCCCATTTTTTGATCGGGTTGTCTGTTTTTTTGTCTTTCAGTTGTGTGAGTTCTTTCTATATTATGGAGATTAACCCCTTGTCAGATATATGTTTTGCAAATATTTTCTCCCAGCCAGTGGGTTGTCTATTCATTTTGATCCTGGTTTCGTTTGTCTTGCAGAAGCTCTTTAATCTGATGAAGTCCCACATGTTTATTTTTTCTTTAGTTTTCCTAGTCTGGGTAGGCATGTCATCTGAAAAGATTCCTTTATGACCAATGTCAAATAGCGTGTTGCCTGTATTTTCTTCTATGAGTTTTATAGCTTCAGGTCTCACCTTCAGGTCTTTGATCCATTTTGAGTTAATTTTTGTGAACGGCAATAGCAGATGGTCCACTTTCATTCTTTTGTATGTGGCTGTCCAGTTTTCCCAACACCATTTATTGAAGAGACTTTCTTTTCTCCATTGTATGTTCTTAGTTCCTTTGTTGAAAATTAGCTGTCCATATATATATGCCTTATTTTTAAATCAAGGATAATAATGTCTACTTTGGGTAGTTATAATAACCAAATGAGATTTAATGTATTAAGGGGCCTAGTCAGCATATAGTAGCTACTCCAAAATGTAGTAATTAAAATCATGATTACCATTTCTGCTCAATATTTTTTGAACCTTGATTCTGCCATCTTGTATATTAGATGACCCCAAAATTTCATAACTGTGCTTTATTTTAATCTACATTTAAGTCATTGATACAAATGTTAAAAAAAAGTAAACAGAGACAGGGTAGAGAACTTGCTGCAAAAAGGTCTTCATTCTAGGTTGAAATCTATGCATTAATAAATAATTGGTGCATAAATATTCAACCAGATATGAACTAGTGAAATGTGGTAATTATTTAGCCTCATATTGTCTGTAAGGTATCAAGAGACACCTTGTAAATACCCTACTTAGATACATGCAAATGTGTATGCACAAATACACAACAAACACGGGCATACTCATACCAACTTTAAGATAAAATATCAAACCATTCTAGCAAGTATTGTTATTGAGGAGCCTGTGATAACTCCCAGTAACTGCCAATTTTGCCACTAATTACTCACAAAAGATTCGTTTCGCTAGTTCATTCAATGTATTTCTTCATTTCTGCCATCCACATATATTTATGTGTATTTAATGCATTACAGAAACTTCCTTTTTTTTTTTCTTTTGTGAGGAAGATTAGCCCTGAGCTAACATCCATGCCAATCCTCCTCTTTTTGCCAAGGAAGACTGGCCTTGAGCTAACATCCATGCCCATTTTCATCTACTTTATATGGGACGCCGCCGCAGCATGGCCTGAGGAGCGGTGCCTCAGTGTGCACCCGGGATCTGAACCCGGGCCACCAGCAGTGGAGCCTGAGCATTTACCTGCTACGCCATAGGGCCGGCCCCCAGAAGCTTCCTTTTTTAATATTTAAGTTTTTATTTATTTTTGTGTGTGTGATAAAGTATCCTCAAGAGAAAACATAATAAACACAATAGCAGAAGTTCAGTAGTTAACTTCCAGAAAATGGAGGACAAATAAGAATTATAAACTAAATGAAACTTTTACAGTATATCTCAATGGAAATTACCCAAAATTTAATTATCCCAAAGTTACAGAGAAAAAAAAAGCTTATCAGTGTCATAACTCAACCTTAGTAAGTTTTGAAAGTAAATATTTTTTTTTCTAGTTTATCTTAGGATAGTCCAAGTGTTTATCTAGCAGAGTCTATAGGTAGAGGCTCTGGATTAGGATAACACAAGCTCTTTAATTACTACACAGGCACATCCTGTGGAGAGAGAAATCACCAATCTTTTCCAAGACCTAAATAACCTACCCTCAGCTCAGCTCTCTCTGCTCTCATTTCAACCTGTAAACAATCTTGAAGCTTTGAATTCCACTTCTTAGAAATCATAACTGCAGGAAAGGCATGTGCTGAATAAGAGAATGAATTATGAAAAGGAGGGAATGGACATCAGCAAGATGGTGAGATAGGAGTTTCTAGTGCCTGTCCACTCATAGAAACATCAACTTGAATGGCCATCACACATGAAAATACCTTCATAAGAGCTAAGGATTCCAAGTGAGAGATTACATACTTGGGCGGAGTCAGAAGTAAGAAAAAATACGGTGAAGAGGATAGAAAGGACGGTTTCACATTACCCTTCTTATCCCTCTCCAAAGCCTGGGGAGCCCGGCATGGAAAGAGACAACTCTCTATAGCGGAAAAAGAGTGAACTGAGCACCTATGCTCACTAAGGACCCCAGTACCAGGCTGGCCCCTATGGCCTCAAGCTCTAGGCTGGCACCCATGACCCCAGCTCCTGGCCAGCCCCAGGATCCAGAATGGCACTTGTGGCCCCAGCCTCTAAGCCAGCACCTGAGGACCCAGGCTTCTCCCTGGTCTGCCTCAGCACAAGGCTGATCTCCTTGGTCCCAGATTCCGAGCTGGCACCTGCAGACTCAGGCTCCAGACTGGCACCCATGGGCCCAGGCTCCCAACTCATCCCTGTAGTCCCAGGCTCCAGGCCTGCCCCAATGCCAGGCTAGCCCCTGTGGCACCAGGCATCAGGCCAGCACCCACAGACTCCAGTCCAGCCCCCATGGCCCCAGGATCCAGGCCCACACCCATGCCAGACTGGCCCCTGTGGCCCCAGGGTCAAGGCCAACCCCTGCACCAGACCAGCCCCTGTAGCCTCAGGCTCCAGTTGACCCAGGGTCCAGACCTGTCCCAGTAAACCTAAAGTTAGCAGAAGGAAGGAAATAATAAAGATCAGAGCAGAAATAAATGAAATAGAGACTAGAAAAATAATAGAAAAGATCATTGAAACTAGGAGTTGTTTTTTTAAAAAGATAAACAAAATTGACAAACCTTTAGCTAGACTAAAAAAAAGAAAGAAGACTAAAAATAAAATCAGAAATGAAAAAGGAGACATTACAACTGATACCACAGAGATACAAAGCATCATAAGAGACTACTATGTACATTTATATGTCAACAAATTGGATAACCAAGAAGAAATGGATAAGTTTCTAGAAACATACAAGCTACCAAGACTGAATTATGAAAAAACAGAAAATCTGGACAGACCAATATCATGTAAGGAGAGTGAATCAGTAATCAAAAACCTCCCAACAATGGCCAATAGGTACATGAAAAGATGCTCAACATTACTAGTCATTAAGGATATGCAAATCAAAATCACAATGAGATATCACCTCAAGCCTGTTAGAATGGCCATCATCAAAAAGACAAGAGATAACAAATGGTGGCATGGATATGGAGAAAGGGGAATCCTTGTGCACTGCTGGTGGGATTATAGATTGTTATAGCCACTATGGAAGACAATATGGAGGACTCTCAAAAAATTAAAAATAAAGCTACCATATGATCCAGCTATTCTACTTCTGGGAATATATCCAAAGGAAATGAAATCACTATGTCAAAGAGATAACTGCATCCCCATGTTCACTGCAGCATTGTTTATGATAGACAAGATATGGAAAAAACCTAAGTGTCCAATGATAGATGAATAAATAAAGAAGCTGTGGTAGATATATACAATGGAATATTGTTCAGCCGTAAAAAACAAGGAAATCCTGCCATTTACAGCAACAGTGATAGATCTTGAGGGTGTTGTGCTGAGTGAAACAAGTTAGACAGAGAAAGACAAATACTGTATGATCTCACTTGTATGTGGAATCTAAAAAAAAAAACTAAACTAAACTCATAGAAAAAGAGGTCAGATTTGTGGTTACCAAAGGTGGGAGTTGGGAGGAGGGGGAATTGGAACAAGGTGGCCAAAAGGTATAAACTTCCATTTATAAGATAAATAAGTACTAGGGATGTAACGTGAAACATGATGACTATAGTTACAACTGCTGTGTGATATATGTGAAAGTTCTTAATAGAGTAAATACTAACAGTTCTCCTTACAAGGAGAAAAATTGTTTTTCTCTTTTTCTCCATTTCTTTTTACTATATCTATATGAGAAGATAGCTGTTAACTAAACTTATTATGGTAATCATTTCACAGTATATGTAAGTCAAAACTTTACGCTGTACACCAGAAACTCATACAGTGCTGTATATCAATTATATCTCGATAAAACTGGAAAAAAATAAATAATAAAAAAATAAAAACATAAAAATTAAAAAGAAAATCTCCCAACAAATAAAAGCCCAGCACCAGATGGCTTCACTGGTGAATTCTACCAAACATTTAAAGAAGAATTAATACGAATCCTTCCTAAACTCTTCAAAAGAGGAGGAATCACTTTCACATTCATTTTAACAAGGCCAGCATTATCCTGATACCAAAGCCAGACAAGGACACTACAAGAAAAGAAAACTACAGGGCAATATCCCTGATGAACATAGATGTAAAAATCTACAACAAAATGCTAACAAACTGACTTCAACAGCACATTAAAAAGATCATACACCATGATCAAGTTGGATTTATCTCTGGAATACAAGGATGGTTCAACATACACAAATCAATAAATGTGATACACCATATTAATAGAATTAGATAAAAATCATGTGATTATCTCTCATCCCCATAGATGAAGAAAAAGTATTTGACGAAATTGAACACCCTTTCATGATAAAAATTCTCAACAAATTGGGTTTAGAAAGAATGTACCTCAATAAAATAAAGGCTAGATATGACAAAGCCACAGAAAACATACTGAATGGTGAAAAGCTGACAGCTTTTCCTCTAAGTTCAGAAACATGACAAAGATTCCCACTCCCCTCACTTCTATTCAGTGTAGTACTGGAAGTCCTAGCCAGAGCCATTAGACAAGAAAAAGACATCCATTAAAAGACATCCAAATAAAAAAGGAAGAAGTAAAATTGTCTCTATTTGCAGATAACGTGATCTTATATACAGAAAACCCTGAAGACAACACCAGAAAACTATCAGAACTAATAAATAAATTTAGTAAAGTTGCAGGATACAAAATCAACATACAAAAATCAGTTTCATTTCTATACACTAACAACAAACTATTGGAAAGAGAAATTAAGAAAACAATTCCATTTATAACAACATCAAAAAAGCAAAGTATTTAGGAACAAATTTATCCAAAGAGGTGAAAGATCTGTACACTGAAAACCAGTAAACATTGCTGAAAGAAATTGAAGTAGACAGAAATAAATGGAAAGTTACTCCTGTTCATGGATTGGAAGAAATAATATTGTTAAAATGTCCATACTATTCAAAGCAATCTACAGATTCAGTGCTCTCCTTATCAAAATTCCAATGGCTATTTTCACAGAAATAGAAAAAAAAAATCCTAAAATTCAAAAAGACCTGAATAGCCAAAGCAATCTTGAGCAAAAAGAACACAGTTGGAAGCATCACACTATCTGATTTTAAAATATACTACAAAGCAATAGCAATCAAAACAGCATGCTACTGGCATAAAAACAGACATATACACCAATAGAACAGAATAGACAGCCAGAAATAAATCCACACATTTATGATCAACTGATCTTTGACAAAGTTGCCAAGAACACCGAATGGGGACAGGACAGTCTCTTTAATAAATGGTGCTTGGAAAATTGGTTTTCCACATGCAGAAGAATGAAATCGGATCCTTATCTCACTTCACATACAAAAACCAACTCAAAGTGATTAAAAACTTAAATGTAAGACCTGAAACCATAAAACTATTAGAAGAAAGCATAGGGGAAAATCTTCATGACATTAGTCTTGGCGATGATTTTTTGGATATGACCCGCAAAGCACAGGCAACAAAAGCAAAAATAGACAAAAGGGATTCCATCTAACTAAAAAGATTCTGCACAGCAAAGGGGATAATGAACAGGGTGAAGAGACAACCTCTGGAATGGGAGAAAATATTTGCAAACCATACATCTGATAAGGCTTTAATATCCAAAATATAATGAGAACTTAAATCAGTAGCAAGAAAACAAATAACCTGATTTAAAAAGGGCAAAGAACCTGAATAGACATTTCTCAAAAGAAGACATACAAATAGCCAGAAGATATAAGAAAAGGTGCTCAACATCAGTAATCATAAGGGAAATGCAAATCAAAACCACAATGAGCTATCACATTACATCTGTTAGGATGGCTATTATCAAAAGACAAGAGTTAACAAGAGTCGGTAAGGATGTGGAGAAAAGGGAACACTTGTTCACTGTTGGTGGGAATGTAAATTGGTAGAGTCACTATGGAAAACAGTATGGCAGTTCCACAAAAAATTAAAAATAGAACTGTCATATGATCCAACAATCCTGCTTCTGGGTGTACACCCAAAGGAAATGAAATAAGCATCTTGAAGAGTTATCTGTACTCCTATGTTCAATGCAGCACTCTTCACAATAGCCAAGGTCTGGAACCAAAGCAAGCGTCTGTTTTTTTTTTTTTTTTCTTGAGGAAGATTAGCCCTGAGCTAACATCTGTGCCAATCTTCCTCTATTTTGTATGTGGGTTGCCACCACAGAATGGCTGACGAGTGGTGTAGGTCCATGCTCGGCATCCAAACCCACAAACATGGACAGCTGAAGCCAAGCATGCTGAACTCAACCACTATGCCAGGGGGTCGGCCCCCTAAGTATCTGTTGATGGATGAATGGATAAAGAAGATATGGTATATACAAATATACAATGGAATATCATTCTTCCATGAGAAAGAAGGAAATCCTATCATTTGTAACAACATGGATAAGCCTAGAGGACATTATGCTAAGTGAAATAAGCCAGACAGAGAAAGACAAATACTGTATAATGTCACTTATATGTGGAATCTAAAAAAAAAAAAAAGTTCAACTTACAGAAGCAGAGAGTAGAAAGACGGTTATCAGGAGCTGGTAGGGTGGGGGAAATTGGGAGATGCGGGTCAAGGGGTACAGAGTGGCAGTTATGTAGGATGCATAAGTCTAGAGTTATAAAGGTACAAGCCTAATGACCATAGTTAATACTGTATGAAATACCAGATATATGCTAAGAGAATAGATTTAAGATGATGTCATCATGGAAAAAATTGGTAATTATATGACAAGATGATATGTTAATTAGTTTGACTGTAGTAATAATTTCACTATGTACATACATAAATCATCATGTTGTATGCCTTAAATATATACTATTTTTATTAAAAATATATAAATTATAAAAAGAGAGAGTGAAATATGATATGTTGGAATTACCATCTGCCATTGCTATGTATTTACATACTGCCTTGTACACCCATCACCTTTAAAACTGAAAGCCTGATCAATTTGTGGGTCTGTTTAACAAAGGTGATTTTTTGCAACTGCAGACCTGGGACCAGACTCTGAACTAAAGCTGCTCTCCAAGAAATTAGTATAGTGAAAAAATCAAGTAGCTAGCTTACTTTTTTCTATGACATAATTTACTGTGGTTTTTTTTGTTATTTTCCTCTTACTAAACCTGTAAGAAATATGATCATAATTTAGAAGTCGATGCTTATTTAAGATCAATCAGAATGGAAAGTAAAGTATTACTGAAATTACAATATGTGAAGGAGAAAATAATTCTGTATGTATATTTTTTATTTATGCTGAGCTTTGAAGACATACAGTGTTAACAGGAGGCAAATTACCCTTATATTGACTGTGCAGCCAACTGTTAAATGAGAAAAGTGTCTTATTTTTAATTTTGAAGATTAACTATTTTTGAAGACTAGTGATCCTCTTTTTAAAGCAGACTAATTAAATTCTTCACTTAAGCCATCTAGGCTAGACTGATCATTATATCAAGAAAAATATTGAAACTTGTTTTTATCTGCTAATCACGGGCCCTTTTTAATGTCATCTTTAACTGATTTAACTATTTTTGATCATTTTAATATCTTCTGTGAAAATTTTTCTCCATTATAAAAGGCAGTAAAAATAAGAAGAGGCATAGGTTTCTGCTGTATCCATTATCACCAGTAATATCCAAAATTACATTATTGATGCTATCCTAGCATAAGTATCTTCGCCCCACTAGTTTGAATCAGTAGAGTCCAACTCAAGAAGAGCCCTTGAGGTTTGTTTATTCATTCACCATTTGATGGACAATTTGGGCTGTTTCCAGATTTTGATTCTTATGAATAATGCTGCTGTGAATATTTATGTATAAGTTGTTGTGTGTATGTTTCATTTCATTTTATTTTGTTTGTGTGGTCTTACACAAGAATAATTTTTGATCATATGATAAGTCACTTACAATATACTGCTTTAAACTTTCCGAACTTGTCATCCCACTTTGCAATCCTACTAACAACGTATGAGAGTTACAGTTGCTCTACATTCTCTCCCATACTTCGTAATATCATCATTTTTTTTAATTTAAGCATTCTAATGGGTGTTAGTAGTTTTAATTGCATGTCCCTGATGACTGATGATGTTGAGCATCTTTCAGGTGTTTATTGGTCATTCATACACCTTTATGAACTATCTGTTAAAACGTTTGACCCATTTTCTATTTGGTTGTTTGTTTTCTTATCATTTTCATGCTACTGACACATATGAAGAAAGAAGCATGAGAAAATCGACTTGGAAAAGAAAGAAAGTTTGTATGTGACTATCAAAACACATAGTCATTAAGAGATTTCAAGCTTTCCTTTAACGGTGGTTCTGAAACCTGGCAACATATTAGAATCCTCTAGAAAGATCAGAAATCTACCAATGTCTGCGTCCCACCAAAATCCAATTAAATCAGAGTGGGTAGTAATGAGTGAGCCTCAGTAGTTATTAAATCTCCCCAAATGATCCTATTGTGCAGTCACGATTCACCATGACTTCTTTATACATTTTTCACAGTGATGGAATTCTCAAAAGGATTAAAGCCAAGTAGGCTTTAATGTCAATTAGGGAGTTTAATTCAAAGTTAAGAAAATATGTTATAATTTGATTAGAATAGAACATTTTCCTCTTGGAATAAAATTGGCAATTGGAGCAGATTGTTAAAAACAGTAATGAATGAGAAGATCAAGCGTACTTAGATGCTTATTTCTTTTAGTCTTAATCTGAATGTATATTTTCAAGTGTGGTGTTTTTCAAGTTAGTAAACCTTGATATTTTAATAAAGAATAGTATTCTGTCAAAAAAAATTATACTGAAAATGTACCAATCTCTCTACTGACCAATTAAATTTACTTGTTTGGGTCATGAAGCTCAAGATAAATAGACACTTTTTGACTAATATTGAATAAAGAATGCCTGTTAATGAGAATAAAACTGAAATGAATTTTAGCTCACTGTAAGATGGGAAGAACATTCTAAAGATATTCCCCCACAACATCTAGTATATAACATCAAGCATATTTCTTCCTAGCATTGTAACTGTAGCACACAATCAATAATTATTTTAAGTCAATAAATGAACACTTTAGGAGGAAACAGAGTCCCATCACTGCAGTTTATTTCAAACGGAAGCTAAATGGCCACCTGCCAGAGATATTGCTGAAAAGATTTCTAAGGGGGTAGGAAATCATTGAAGATGACTTATAAAGTCCCTATGGGCTCTAAAATTATTTGATCCTATATCTTCAATATATTGGCATTTGTACTTCACAAGACCTTGCTGATCTTTCACCTACCGTGAGAAAATAATGCAGTTTTAAGAGTAGCTTTCTAACCCATTTCTTCTCTCATATTTGAAGAATTCTTATTAATTTTTTCTTAGGGTAGGCAGAAGTGTGTGGAGACATGCAGACTTCAAAAACTGAATTGGCGACACTTGACAGGAAGTGAAGTTGGCTTCACCGCAAAAATTCAGTAAAGGGGTAACCAAATCAGAGCACTGTCCCAAACGAGCCTGAGATATTGTGATTTTAGTTGCTGAAAATGACACATCTCATTCTTGTTTTGTTTTTTTCTAATTCAAAGCCCTTCCCCTACCTTTGAAGTTGTGTGAGTTGGAGTCATTTATGCCTTATCGCCTCAAGACTAACATTATTAGCCTTCCATCATCACAGAAAACAGAAGTCCAGCTTAAATGTGACGTTACTCTAACAACATTTTATCATGCTGGCAGCTTGATTTATTACTTTATGCTTTGTATTGCATGTTCCACACTTTATTGTAAAAATAATAAGACAACAGTATTCCAGAATATTGTCATTTAATTTTACAAATGCATATTTATTTTCACAGAATTGATTGAAATGACAATGTTTATTTTTTAATTGTTTATGAAAAAGCATTTCTTTCCCTTTGTCCTGAACTAAAGAAAAATATATAGATCATAAATAAAATTTTCCTATTTTTACTCTGTCTTACCATCCTCCTTCCTTCTTTTCTTCTAATCTTTATACTCCCTTCCTCAAGTTACCTTTAATCCATTATGTTCTAAGGTTACATTTTCCACTCATGATAAACATGATGCTACTTTGCCTTCAAGAGCTTGATGTATAGAATTTGCGTTATATCACAAGGTTTGGGTAGGAGCATTTAGCTAAACATTCAATATTTATTGAGTACCCACCTATGAAAGGTACTCAGATAGACATGAAAGATACAAAATTGTTTTCACACAAATCAGGCATTCAGTTACTTATAATCTTGGGGCAATAAGATAGCTATACCAATACATGGTGAATAGTTATAGAAAGTAAAGAGAAAGAGAATAGATTAAATTAATTTTTGTCATCTAAGGGAACACATCTGCTATACTTCTTTCTACTAAGAGTTATATGAGATATCAAAACAAGGATTGAAAGGTAATGTTTGAAAGTTTGGTTATTTGTTCCTGAGAGTTTTGCAACAGCACCTAGTCTAGCTATATTATGCCCCCCACCTACAAAACAATGTATTAACAGATAGAGGCAGCTCCCTGAGTCTCCACAAAAGCGAAAGACTCAGAACTAGAGGTATGTAGGTAAGATCCCAACACCTAGATTACACTGCAGGCTACTCCAATGGAAGCCTTGCTGCAGCTA